TTGGGGTAGTTACTGAAAGCTGTTAGGAGGGAGATCCTGGGAGGATTGTTTCTCTCCACACCAAACATCGTGATGGCTTGGCATGTCTGCACTTGCAGTCTCTCCTGCCACGTAGTTTAACCAGAATAATCATGGTAGCCATTCTAGGCGGCGGCTTCTCCTGGGTGAGATTGATGTGCCTCTGAAGTGACCAGATGGATATAAAAGTTCCTAAGGGGACTAGTCATGGAGGACACCCTTTTCTAAATACCCCAAAGGAGTTGATCACTAACACACATCGTCAGGTCCTGTCCAAGCTGGGCAAGTGTTTTTAGACTTTTCCCTCTCTGTAAAGGCGGAGGAGGGAGTGCCTTTGAGAACGAGAGTTTATGTTAGGTAAGCAATACCCATGGCATATGTACTTTGGACTTTGAAATATACTGTGACCAACAGAGTCCAAAATCCCCTATTAGTTTTGGGGGGAATTTCTTTTTTTTTTTTTTTATAATCTGTTGCTTAATTGTATCTTCACAATAACTTTTGTTAAAGTTACACACATTCTGCTTTCTGGATTCTGTAGCAGGAAATGGAGCTTGTTACCCTATTTCCCTAATATGAGCCCCACTACTCATAATACTCATTTCTAGTTCTGGAAGCAGCTAAGCCTCTAAAAGTTAACAAATTCAGTTTGGTAATAGCATAGGTTAATACCCATATGACTCTGTTGTATGCTTTAGAAAAACTTTTTTTTTCCTACCTGACATTTCAGACAGAAAAAGATTGCTCAGCAAAATAGTTTCCAAATTTCTAACCCTGATGATTTTTCCACTCAACACTTTACACAAAGAGGTAGGTACAGATGGCAGTTTGCTGGGTCTGTGTAGGATTCAGTCTTGGTCCTCACCCTTCCCCTGGAGCCCACTCTCCATTCCTGTATAAACAGAGTGGTTTCAGCAGGTCTTAGGAAATGTCTCCTGTATTTACCATTTGCAAATATGGAGTCTATTAGATCAGATTTTTTTTAAATTTTATTAACAGACTTTTTTTTTTAAGAGTAGTTTCAGGTTCACAGCAGAATTGAACAGAAAATACAGAGTTCGCACATGGCCCTCCCCACCCACACATATATGCTCCCCTACCCTCAGCATCCCTCATCAGTGTGGCATATTTGGTATAGTCGATGAACCAACATGGACGCATCATTGACAACCAAAGTCCATAGTTTACATTAAGGTTCATTCTTGGTGTTGTACATTCTGTGGGTTTTGACAAATGTGTATTTACATGTAGCCACCACTATAGTGTCACACAGAATAATTTCATTGCCCTAAAAATCCCTTGTGCTCCATCTATTCATTCCTCCCTCCCTCGCTCTCCCCAAACCCCTGGAAGCAATGATCCTTTTATTGTTTCTGTAGATTAGATCAGGTTTTTAACTCAAAAACACCTATTTTGTGTGCATCACTGTTTTAAGCTAAAGAAGAATTAGAAGGCTGAGGAGAATGGCCCTGATCTTCAGCACAGTAAAGAAGACATAATTTATAAACTTTACTTGACATGAAAAACTAACCATAAATACGTGGGAGAATAGAGTATTAGGAGTGAAGTGCCAATTTCTGGGAGCTCTTTTTCTAATAGGAAGCTTACCCTTTGTAATACGATTTGCAAATATTTTCTGCTTTTTTTTTTCTAACTTACACTGTTTTTTTGTCATAAGGAGTCTTAATTTCTGTCTTGGTGGAGGTATCAGTGTTTACTTTATGGCCTTTGCACTATCTTGGCCCACTTTTTTTTCCTTCTCTTTATTTTTAAGTTTTTTTTTTAATTGAAGTATACTTGGTTTACAGTGTTGTAATTTCTGGTGTTCAGCATAGTGATTCAGTTACACATATATACATACTACTTTACGTATTCTTTTCCATCATAGGCTATTACAAGATACTGAATATAGTTAGTTCCCTGTGCTGTACAGTAGGATATAGTTACGTGTTTTGTATATAGTAGTGTACATCTATAAATCCCCACTTTTGATGGTACAGAATCACTCATTCCTCTTCCCATGGTGCCTCCTCAGTCTTTTTCTACTTCACTCCTGGATTGACAGCAAAAAATTTTAGGTTCCTTTCTTCCCAAGTCTGCATTCCTAGAACTGAATTCTTTTCAGTAATAGGATAGCCCTTGATCATTTTGTTAGGAGATTTTAGTGGTCTGAAAAGTCTCCCATTTTCTTGGTTGCAGGCACTCTAGACAACAGTTTGGCAGTTTCTCATAAAACTAAACACGCAGTTGTCATGCAACCCAGCATTTGCATTCGTGGGCATTTACCCCAGAGAGAGGGAAACTTAAGTTTACACAAAAACCTGTCTAACAACTGTTCATAGCAGCTTTGTTTGTAATAACCCCAAACTGGAAACAACCCAGATGTCTTGCAGTGGGTGAATGGTTAACCAAACTCTGGTACATACCTACCGTGGAATACTACTCGGAAATAAAAAGGAACAAACTGTTGGTACAAGCAGCATCTTAGATGAATCTCTGCGGTATCACGCTGGGTGAAAAAAGCCAATCCCAGGAGTTGTATTACTGCGTTTTTAAACTTTTTTTTTAATTGAAGTATAGTCAGTCTACAGTGTTGTATCAGTTTCTGGTGTACAACATAGTGATTCAGTTAGACATGTCTATTTCTTTTTCTATTCTTTTTCATTATAGGCCATTACAAGGTATTGAATATAGTTCCCTGTGCTAAACAGTAGGGCCTTGTTGTTTTTTTATATATAGAAGTTAGTATCTGCAAATCCCAAGCTTTCAATTTATCCCTTCCCCTCGTCCCCCTGTAAGTTTGTTTGCTATGTCTGTGAGTCTGTTTCTACATTTTTAAACATTTTTGAAATGACAAAATTTTTAAAATGGTGAGCAGATTAATGGTTGCCAGGGGTAAGGATGGGGAGGAGGGTGGGAGGATGGGGAGAGAGGTGGATGCGGTTATGAAAAGGAGCACAAAAAATGGTGGTGGACCAAGCTACATTTCAGACCGTGGTAGTGGGTACGTAGACCAACACATGTGAGAAAGTTGTCTGGAACTAAACACACACGCACACACATTCAAATATAAGTGGAGTGGGACGCTGGAATTGGATCAGTGGATTGCATTAGTGTCAGTATCCTGACTGTGATGTTGCATTACAGTTTTGCAAGATGTTGCCTTTGGCGGAAACTGGGTGAAGGGGTACATGAGATCTTATACATAGGATCTCAGTAAAAATTTCAGATTAAAAAAATAAATCCTTATTTCTGCAAATACCAGCCTCATCAAAAGCTGCTTCGGGAGGCAGGTTCAGGGGAGCTCCTGGTGCTCTCCTGTGTTAGGGTGGCCAGTGGTGCCACGAAGGCCCTGGTGCTGGCGGTGGAGTGTGGGGGTGCAGGCTGCACTCTGCTTTGTCAGGCCAGATGAAGATGTGAGAGGATTCTCTGGAATGGCCCCGCTGGGGAGCCCAGCCTACAGCCTGTTTAGTGGGGAAAGAGCCTGGTTTAGGGCCTACGATCTCAGAACCAGTGAGGGTTTGACATTGGTGGTTGCGGGGCTGGAGTGGGGAAGAGTTCCCAAGACAAGCCTTGATGTGGGTGAGTCCTGCCTGATGTGTGAGCCACTGTCGTCTTTACTTTGATCCCTGTGCTGTGCCGTGGCCTGGTGTGAGCGTGCCAGCTGTGGGAGGGGGTCCCCTAGATCCCCAGGACCCTCCTAGGGATGCTCTGAAGTCAAAACTGTTTTCACAGTGATACTTGGACATTTGCTAATTACGTTCTGTTACAAGCGTACAGGGGAGTTTGTCAGCGGCTACCTGATGTAAAATAGCAACAGAGTAAATGCAGAAGCAGGTGTGAGAATCCAGCTATTTTCTGTGAAACCAGACACTTAAAAGACTTACAAGAACTGTAAACCACTGCCACTTTCTCACTTTTCTGTTTTGAAAGATAGTTATTTTCCTTAAAATATGTTATCTATGTTAACATGTAATGAGCTTATTATTTTTATTTTTAAATGATTTAATAAATACTTGAGAATTTTCCCAGTTGTAATTTTTAGTAGGTGAATACGAATTTAAACTACATACACAGATGCTCTTTGGGATCCTTAGTAAATTTTGAGAGGGTAAAGGGGTCCTAGCACCAAAGAGTGTGCGAACCTTTGGGTTGATAAGAAGCACGCGACCAGAAATCGGGAGGCTTAAGTTCTAGTTGGGTCTTAGCCAATGACCCTGAGCAAGTCATTTGGCCTCTTTCGTTGTTATGTCTTCTTTTGTAAATGCTAATAATTATCCTGTTCTACACACCTTAAAGGTAAGGTAATCCTGAATGAAAGGCTTTGAAAATATATCCTATTCACATTTAACGGAATGTAATAGTTACCCAACAAAACTCATGTTGGAGGGAAATGTAAAGAATGAGGCTTATGGCAGGTTAGCTCATGCTCTGGTCACTTACAAAATTTTTTCACTTTTGCATCTCCTCCCAACATTTTCCTTGTATATTTTCTTTCTTTTTTCAGTTTCTCAGACAGCCATTTTAATTATTAAAAGGATTTAAGTAAGTACACCTTCCAGGGTTTTCCATCAGGGAGGGATTTATATTGCTGATTCCATGAAGTAGTGCCAGAAGGTCAGGAGCTCTGTCTTGGAGAAACCACTTACTGTGTGACTTTAGGAAAGTTACTTAACCTCTCGGTGTCTTGGGTTCCTCGTCTGTAAAATGGGACTAATAATAACTTACTTTCCTAGGCAGTTATGAGTGTGAAAAATAATGCACCAGCAGCATTTTGCAAGTGCTTGGCACATAATAGATACTCCATAAAGGATAGTTGGTGTGATTGTCATTAGCATATGACAGAAAATGTGAGATTAAATTTAAACCTCTTCCTCTGTCTTCATTGAACTTGTTATTAAACTACTTTATTCCCACGTTTATTGGTAGTTTCCATTTCACTTCATTTGATTTTCTTCTTCTTTTTATTTTTTGCTTCGAAGGGTTACTGAGTGGCCAGACTTCCCCAACAAACACCAAACTGGAGAAACTGGATTCTCAACAGGTGTTGCAGCTCTGCCTCCGCTATCAGGACCACCTCCATCAGTGTGCAGAGGCCGTTGCTTTTGATCAGAACGCTTTGGTTAAACGAATCAAAGAGGTAAAGTATTGTGAGAAAATACCATTGCCTGCTTATGGTGATTCCCTGTGACTCCTGAGTCCTTTTCTCCTGGGCGGTAGAGCCAGTGATCCAGACTTTCTGGGAAATAGTCATTTTCTATCTAAATGTCTTGACATACTGGGGAGATTGTCTTTCTCAGCAGTAAAATGTGATGTTGGAAAACTGGGTCCACGGAGTAGACTAATCTGGAGTCTGAATCCTGGTTTACCTCTTATTTGCTGGGATAAGTTACTTCTCTTGGTCTCAGTTTTCTCATCTGAAAAATGGGTCCCATCATGATAACCTACCCCAAGGGTTGAGTGAAGATTATTAAATTGCTCAGTAAGTGTTAACTGTTATTAGTATGTGTGAAGTCCTGCCGTACTGTTTTGCTTTTGCTAACATTATGTCTTCGAATTGACTTCAGCTCCTTCCTGTGTGTATTTCATATTTTGTTTTCCAGTTGGGTATCGGTTCTTTGAGAGCAGGACCCCTGACATCTCCCTCAATTTATATTTTTTTCACTGCATTAGCAGGAAAAGCTCGGTGATTCTTATTGGTTGGTTGGAAATGATTATGCCTGCTTAACCCACATGGTTTTTGTGAGGAAGGAAGCAAGATAATTCATGTGACAGTACTTGGTAAATGAGAGAGCATGGTACAAATGTTGAATAATTATGAATTACAGTTAAGTAGGCACTTTTTTGAAGCATTTAAATATGTCGTTGACTGGTCCACTGCATGGCACAGCTCTGGGAGCACCAAGGTATAGGTAAAAACATTTTCCAAAGTTTTCAACCAAGAAGAGTTTTATATTCCTGATTCCCTGAAGTCATGTTGAATGAAAAAAAAAAAAGGAAGTCAGGGCTGTATCCTGGCGAAACCACTTATGTGAATGGCACTCCCTGGAGTTTAACAAAATAGTCCTGGTCATTGACTCAGGCAAGAGAAGATGGACCTGAGGAAACATACAAGTAAAGGGTGGAAAATCACTGCTAATTAATGATCAGTTAGTAATAGACATACTACATCCTTGGGATTCCAGTGTAGTCATTAACTACATTGATATATTTGTTTGCCAACACCTCCAGTATTTTCATACTTAACCTTTCATAAAATGTATTTATGTGCTTCTCTCATGGATTAAATACGTTTATATGGAAGACTATTTAATATGACCTTTTATGTCAGTTGGCATTGATGTAGCCTTTCAGATATGATATTTGTAACATTATGATCTACAGAGCTCTAAGTCCCAAACATGACAATGCATTAGAATCATTGGGATTTTTTTGTTTAATACTGAATTCTTCTCTCCCCTCGTAGATCTAGGATGTGGTCTCTGAATCATTATTTTAATAAACTTACCAAATGATACTGTTGCCATTCTCCATTACCTGGGATTTGGGCACCACTGGTCCAGGGTACTGTTTTCCAAAGTAACTTCTATAAAACTAGCTCCATGTAAAGAAGGTCAGACTTTTTGCATATTTCATCACCACCCTTGGAAAGTCACAGTGCCTATTACCTTATTAAAAGTTCGTAGGTATCTTGCAGTAAAGAAAATCAGCACTTTTCAAACTTAAAACCCTTAACTTCTATTAAGAAGTAGAATAGAAGGTAACTTCTATTAACATGCTATAGAGGCAGTGTCTTTTAGAGCACTCTGAGGGGAATGCTTTTGTAGACGTAAGACCTTACCATTTGGACTGTGCTAGAAATTAACTGTGACAGTAACTCTCAGAAGATTTTAGAGTAAGTCAACTTTTTAATGCTTCTTGTCTTCTTTTTGTAAAATCCTCTACTAGTTTAGGATAACGTGTGGTGCAGAAAGCTGCAGTGACTAGCTCATTGTCAAGGGCCGGGTAGAGTGTCTCGTAGCTGATAGTACTAGACAGAGCTCCTCATTATCCCATGTCTTCCAGACTCCCGAGCAGTGTTTCTTGGCCCCGAATGCATTAGAATCACCTGGGAATTTTTTCCTCCAATATATATGATGGAAAATTTTACACACACACTGTGAACCTTCCAGTGCTCATTGCCTGGCTAGTAGACATCAACTTGTGAACACTCTTGTTTCAGCCACACCCCCACTCAACTCCCTGCCACCTCCCAACTGGTCTGTTTTTCAGGTCTAATCTCAGGCATATCATTTCATTCATAAATATTTAAGTATGTGTTTTTAAAATGAAGGACTTAAAAAAATCTTTTTAATTTGAGTTACTTTCAGACTTAGAGAAAAGTCACAAAAATAATTCAGAGAGTTCCTGTAACCACTCCCACAGCTTCCTCTACAGTGAGCATCTTAGAAAACTTTAGCACAATGACAAAACCGGGAAATTAACATTGGTACAATACTGTTAACTAAACCGAGACTGTATTTGAATTTCACCAGTTTTCCACGAACAAAAGACTCCTTTTGAAAAACACAGCCCCAGTGCGTTATAATACCTAAAACGCTTAGCAATAATGCCTTCATTCATTCAGTATAGCTGAGGTGCTTTTAAGAAAAATCACTCTAAACCAATTAGGTAGAAACCTTTGAAGGGCTGTGAGAAGGGAAGGAAGGAAGCCGGGCACTGGTGTTTGTGAGAGTGCTCCAGGAGGGTCTCACCTGTGGCCGGGGGTGAGAACCAGTGCTGTGCAGCAGTCGTTAAAAACAATTAAACTGAGTTTAAAATTCTGCTTGAGGAGCCTTGGGATTCACTCTGAGTAGGCAGTTTTGAGCCAGGACCGCCGCCCAGCAGAGAACAGCATTCACGGTACGGGCGGTGTCCCGGCAGTTCTCTCAGGGCCGAGGAGGTGAGCGCCGTTCAGGGTCTTCCCTGGGGGCTCGTCAGCCCCTGCGTGCTGGCAAGCCCCTGAAACATGCACACCCATCTGCGCTCAAACCTAAGGGTTGAAATTAGTCACTTCCAAGTGAATAAAGCAGAGGATGTCGTTTTGATCAAATACCAGCTCTCTGATATTATTCCAGATGTTTCCTGGAAATTTGGTTCCAAGTGTGAGGAAGTAACATAATGCTGTGTGTTAAAGTCAGTGAACTTACTAAGCATGGAGAATATGTGTTAGTGGAGGCAGAACCCAGACCGGCCAGACACCCAGAAAGTTGCATTGCTTGTGATCGCTTAGGTTTGGATCAAAGGGAAATGTGGCTATAACCGTTTCTGATTCCGAGAGGAGAAAATCAAGGAGTTACTAAGCTTTCCTCTTGCTGACTTGGGATGATGCTCATGAATGAAGAGTTATGTTGTGTAAATTTGTGTGTAAGAGGGTGGCAGACCCTTAGCGTGAGGTCCTCTAAGGGTTACAGAGGAACGTGGCCTGGTCCCTGCTTGCTGAGCACTTAGTCTGGGTGAGGGAAAAAAGGGACACAGAAGAGTAAGGTGACAGGAAGGCGCTGTTGATGGAGACTGCTCGACGGTGATTAATAATAAAAGTTTCATGAGAGTTAAAGACCGGGAGACCCTGGAGTAGGTGAGGTGGAAGCTCGGTCTTAAAGGAAAACTAAGATTTGGGAAATGAATGGACAGAAAGAGGAGAGCATTGCTGGCTGGGGAAACAGCTGACAGGCTTAGAAGGACATTAACTTTGGGGCTTCAGGGGACAGGGAAGAAACTAAACTTGTTCCAAGAAATCTCTATTAAGAACCACAGATGTTGGAAAGAACTCAGAGACCGTCTGGTCCAGTGCCTTCCTTATGTAGACGCAGAAATGGAAGCCTGTTAGAGAAAGTAAGCAATCCGTCTGTGGTCAGGGAGTCAGACAGCGGCTGAAATTACAGAATTCAAAGTGGAGCAAGATCAGAGAAGGTTAGGGGGTTTTTGGCAGGTGGTAAGTTTGAACATGCTTACGGGTTGAGGGGGAAGAGACGGAAGAGAAGAAGATGGAAGATGAATGATAGAAAGGGGATTCTGAGAGCGAGGTCTCCCAGGCAGCCAGAGAGGTGTTTTGGCCTGAGAAAACAGGGAGGATCTAGGCGGGGTTTTAAAAAGAGGACCCCGGGCACAGATCAGTCACCCGCGGGGAGCCTGTGTACTCTCTCTGAAGGACGGGGGAGGTTATTTGTTGAGAGTGACCGCTGGGTGGTGGTGTAGTTGTGAGCCCAGGCAGTCACTGAGGGCTCAGCCAGTGTGGGAAAACTTGGCCTTACATTTGTGGGCAGTTCTGCATAGAATCTGTGGTTCTGAGTGTGAAGTCCAGAGCCTCATTGCCTGAGTTCAGACCCTGGCACTGCCTCTAATGAGTTGTGTGACATTGAGCAAGTTACTTAATTCTTCTAAGCCTGAGTCTCCTCTTCTAGGATCATAGTCCACCTCAGAAGGGTCCTCGGGAGGGTTATGTGAGTTACTAGACATAAAGTATAGGGCCCTGTCTGCCGCACAGTAAACGCCATGGTGTCAGCTCTGGTTATTGTTTTAAATGTGAACAGTGACTAAAAGAGGAAAGCCTGACCCTATTGCTGTGAATTGGCTCGTGTGAAGTTTGATACCAGTAATAGCCTAAATGTTGGCTCATTTTAAGCTCTCCTCTCAACAACTCAAGAAGAGAAAGAACCAGATGGAAGCAAGACATAATTTTTAGCCCAGTCTGCTTTTCTGCAAGCCTTGTATGATTTCTTCTGTGCCACAGATAAATACCTGCTGGAATTTTTGCAGTTGATGCAACCGTTTATTCTGCTCCATGAAGAGCACACTGGTACCTGGGGAACTTGGGTCATGAGAAATGTGAAGATGGCACATGATGTGTCCTCGGCTTCTGGCCTGTGGATGCTTCACACCTCTTACCACTTCGGTGATTTCCATGATACCTCATCATCTAGTTAAGGATTCAAGTTGGCAGGCAGACGCTTTCAGTTTTTGGTTACCTCTGTCTCTGATACTGGGATTACTGGAAGGTAAAGGAGAAAATCACGTGCATCCTCCTAAGGCACGGGCTTTCCCCAGGGCCGGGGGCGGTGGGGAGGAAGGCAGGTGGCAGATACACAGCTCCAGGAAGAC